TTAACGATATCTAACTGTCCATTTTTCACATTTCCACGTAAAAGAAAATGTGCTTCTTTTACTTCACTTCGAATTACGTTTACTTTACTAAGGAATAACGTACGATTGGTTGAGCAGGGAAAACTGAATACAAGATCGTTGAGCGGACTGGTTGAAAATTTCCACGTACCAATCAGATCGCCTGTAAAGGAAAACGCGAGTATATCGATGAGAATGATAGAAACGCTGAATAATCAAGAACTATCCGAGGAGTTGATAAACTACGACAATGAAAACACTGTCGAAGAGAAAAGGATGCTCATCGAAGTGAACAGAAACAGTAATTTGTTGGCCACGCCGGGTACAATACACAGAATAGTATTCGATGTAACGAACATTTGTATTTTGCCTGTCAGATATGCGTTCAGAGTAAAGAGTACACCTTTCAGATTGTACAACGTCGAACCGACCTAGTGAGTTATCGTAATCGAAATTATTCGCTATTTCAAGTTGCACTCTTTATTATTAAATGTAGAAATGAATTCTTTTCCGACTTTTCGGGACAATCGAAGTTTGATTTAAAAAAAAAAATGAAAACAGATTACTCGTTGGAATAATTTTCATTATCGTTGATGACCTTTTGCCATTTTTCTGCTAATTTTGGATCAATTATGTGAATCCAGTCGGAAAGAATTCATTTCTACATCTTATAATGATCTCTTATTTTTTCCTCTTATTGTGTGATAAGTGCGACCCAGAAAGTTATTGCAATCGAAATTATTTACCATTTAAAGTGACTTTTTTTTACTAGTATCTCATACTTCTATTGTCCAACAAGTGTAAACTGCCCTTTTTCGTTCACTTTCCTCTGGTATACGCATTTAAGAAAGGAAAAAATAATTCGCATGACAATTTCTGCATTAAAAAATGCCTTAATTTGAGTTATTACACGATAAACATTTTATTTATTGTTTACTAATTATTCGTGTTTTAGCGCGTGGATTTATCCTGGACAGATGAACAATGTAGCAGTAGATTTGGTTGTGCCCGACAATACTGCACCGGATACAGCTAATACAGTTACGTTGTCTATCTTGGGCACGGAAATAAAAGAAAAATCTGTATATTTGTATGTGCAAGGATCGCTTTCGAAGGTAATCGTACGAAAAAAAAAAAAGAAATATATTAGAAGAAGCAATGGGCTGTAATAGGGTTCTAGCTAACTTGCGCGTTGAATTTTTAATCAATATTAGCAACTATACAGATAAGTTGTGTTTCGTGAACCAAGAATAATCGAAAAGAAGTCATTTTTATGCAAAAATTCATTACGTCGAACCTATTTTTCCATGAGAAACTTAATTAAAAAAAAAAAAAAGAATTAAGAAAATATTAACTGTATTCTGAAACTTCGTTTCACCAGACTATCGTATGATATTGTCTTTTAAGTGAAGACAATTTTTGTTATTTGCAGCGTTTTTAAACGATTTGGCCGATAAATAAAACCCAACGTATTTTCAAATTTGATTTTCTCGAAAATTAATTTCATGCTGAAAAATTTCACCATACATATTCGACTTTCGATTTCTTCTTATCAAATAACATTTAATCAATATAAAGCGTCAATGTTTCAATGAAATCAGAATTTTTATCGAATTATTGTAATTTTCGTGACGTTGCATTGTTATGCCTAGTTAACCGATGACGTGAAACCAACGATCAAATATTCTTTCAATAATAACTGTGCTGGGCATCTGGGAAAAGAACATTGCTATAAATCTCGTTGGAGCATAGATGCTGTAATTCAAGACTACGAATCAGGTATTAAATAGATTCCTCAAAGAACCCACAGTGTTGACATAATTACTTCTTTTTTCTATCGCAATACAAACCAATTAATAGGAAATTAAGATTGCTGCTTTATTCGAAGCTATTTAATCGTGATTTATTGCGTAGGCATACGAGAATACAAAGTGCTCAAATTTCTGATATGTTTTGTCATTGTAAATTTTTCCAAATTAACGTTGAATATTTCATTGATATTGAAGAAAAAACGACAACAAACAAGAATGCGTGAATAAAAATTTTTAAAGATGTTACAATTTGTGTAAGAAGAATTGTCAATAATTATTTCACGGATAATATAAGAAACAATATTTGGAATATCATCTTATAATTGAAATAACAATTTTTCTAAATATCATATTTAAATACACCGAACTTATTAAAATTTCTAAACAACTGTTTGTTTATCCTGTATTTAATATGGTTAACAGTTACTCTTTTAAAACTGAGCAGTACTATTTCCTATAAAATTTGCAGGTTAAATTTTCGATCTACAAATCGATTTCAATGTAACAGCTGTACTTTAAAATTATTCAATTGCTCGAAATAAAGATCCTTCTGTTTGTAATCAAGTTTCTATAATAGAGGAAAAATTTTTGTATGCAGGTTTAAAACGAGTAATTTCAACACCGAACAATATTTATGCACGTACAGAATTTATTAGTGGCACAAGATCTCCAGTAACCTTTTATTATTCCGCTACATGCTGCGATAAAACGGTTAAAATTACGGCGATAGATTTGTTAAACAACTACGACACATATACTATAGATGTCACAGGTAATAATTGTATTATTTTTATTAGATTCTTTAGTACAATAGATTACTAATTTAATAAGTAACAAGTGAGATCAACATTAAATGAATCATGTAGAAATTTATCACATTTACACCATTAACCTAACTCTGAATTTTCATCATTCCTCAATAAATCTAACAATGTCACGACTAAATATATTCAAAAGAAGCATTGTACTAATCATAGAAAGTATTCAAAGTGATAAGAAAGTTATCTTTTTTTCAATAAGTAATATATGATTAATCTCTTTAGCATGGAACAACTTATCAGAAGCAGAGATTGCTGCTATTACAGTGGGAGCATTATTTGCTTTGTTACTCGTCATTTTGGTTATTGCTTTAATCGTATATTATATTCAAAGAAGGAAAAGTCATGATTTGCCTTATACTCAACGATATGGATCTAGACCACCTACACATTCAGAAAGAACTAATTTTTAAATTTTTATTCATGTCAATAAAGTATATATAAACATATACTGTACATTAAGCGTATACTTCTTCTTCTTACATAAATTTATTAATTTGTATTTATATTGAATATGTATGTACATAAATTAGAGGTAATAAATTCAAACATAATTTTGATATGATAACAGTGTATAAATATTTCAGTATACAATATTATAATTTTAAGAGTGAAACTAACAGTATGTGTAAGAAAGTTATATGTAATTGTAAATTACACAAATTCCAACAAAGACACGTATTTTAAAATACTGAACCACAATTATTATAGAAAGATATATTAAAGAACAGAAGTACTTTGTGGAATTTACAATTACATGCTACTTCATTTCATAATATTACATATAATGTACATAAAACATTTAAAGTTATAAGACTTTAAGAAACAGTTACATTGATCTTGTAACAGACATAAAAGCATTAAGAACTATAAACAAAGTAATTAGGCTGCAAGACAACACTAGTTAATGGAAATAAACTGACACTGAACACATTACAAACAATATGCGTGCACAGATGTTGGGTAAGTTCGAACGATACGTGTAACCATGTGAAATCAAATGAAAAGAGCTGTCAGAAAAACGTACGTGACGTCGATTAGTTTTATGATAAATGTCATTCGCACATTCTGTCACGTGTCATTAAGATTACGAAAATATGAGTTTTCAAGAGCCCCACCCAGGTGTTTCATTAATAGACTCACCATCGCGGAGAACCGCAGGTGTAGCAGACGTAACAGGCATTAATAGCGCATTTTCGGTATAATTTTCGAACAGAAAACCTTCGCCAGCCGCTGATAATAATGGATTTTTCGCTTTATGTGATGCACCACTCATATTTGCAGTGACGTTGGCACCACACGACACAAGAGCACTGCCATCCAAAGATTACTAAACTACGAATTGCAAAACACAGTCAATTCACCATAGAGTATATACACATAACCTGTAACGCCACATCCACGTAAGCATATGTGTAATAGAGGTCGCACATGAGCGAGCAGAAATCTTTCTTTATCAAAAAGGCACGGAGACGGTTATACATGTGTTACTACTACGTCCAAGTGAAACACGAATGCGCATGCGTTATCTAACTCATCAACTGCTGCCTTCAGAGTGATATTAGTGAGCTAAAATATGTTACTTACAGAAAGTAAAGTTTGAGTTTCGTGACTATTCCACGTTTCAACACATATTAATAAATATAGTAATATTTACGTAATAAACGAATATATTATGTATAATTTTATGTATGAAAAATAAAATTTTACGGAGAGCTTGCAATAATATAAATATCTACTCATTTCTCTGTAGTTATAAATTTTCAAACTTATACCAACACAGGTTATAAATATACGCTTCATATCATACGAATGGAGTCGCTAATTCAGTACACTTGGACGCGGGAATTTCAAATAGATAAATAGTATAGATAGTTGTCCGTCTCATGAGGCATGTCGACGATGCTTCGACGACTGCGGCGAACGTATTAAACACGATTCCTCATTGAATTAGTCATTTATTTTTTATTTTACCATTGTATCAACAGTTCCTGAGATAAAATATTAATATGTGTATTACAGGACTTCGTTATATCGGTTTTCTTAACTGTACAATTAGATCGACGTAATGATAAATTATTCTGTTACCGTTATTTTCTTTATATATATCTTTATATAAATCTTCCAACGATTAAATCGATTAAATAAATACATCAAGGTTTTCAATGTTTTTCATTCTTAATTTTCAACGTCGATCAATAGAATACTCGATTTTCTGCGAATCAACCAATTTTTTCCCTTTTTACGTTCACTCTTTCTTTTCCCTACTTTACGAGAATGCGAGATATAAAACGTACCTGCCTATTCACGTGTTATTAGACGCGAAGGTTTGAATTAAACAGAAGTATACAAATTTATTGCACTTTAAGTATATTTAACACATTCTACAATTCTAATTTATATGTTGCATATAAGAACCTACAGTCATTAGCGGATGATAGTATAGTTTCAGTGTTTAGGAAGAAGGAGAAGTTTCTGCAGTGATGGGCAGTTCAGTGCTGCTGCTGGGGTGGGGACTTCCTGTAGGGTGGGGCCTTCCTGTAGGATGGGGCCTTCCTGTAGGATGGGGCCTTCCTGTAGGATGGGGCCTTCCTGTAGGATGAGGCCTTCCTGTAGGATGAGGCCTTCCTGTAGGATGGGGCCTTTCTGAAGGATGGGGCCTTTCTGAAGGGCGGGGTGATTCAGAGGAATGGTGATGGAATTCCGAAAGACAGGGTCCTGGAGTAGGTGGTTTATCTGTCGAAGGTGTTCCTGCTGGAGATGAAGGCGACGGGCTGCTGCTGCCGGAAGGACGACTCCTGCAGTTTGCATGTTCTGGGAAATCGCAAACTTTTTCTACGGGATTGAATTCAAGTCCTGGGTTGCAGAACATCAAGTATGGTATGCCTTCGTTGCACGAGTAGTATGTCTTGCAATCTTCTGGATTTGGAAGAAGCGTGACATTCACGTCATTATGCGGTGGGCATTCAACGGCTCCAGTGGTAGAAGCAAAAGCCACAACTGTGGCAACTGCCACAACAAACATTCCTGAGAAAATGATTAAACGATCTTGGTTAAACACCGTACATTGATACGTTTGAAAATGAAAAAAGTATCGAAAAGATTTTCGTACAAAGTGAGAAATTTTACGAACACAATTTCCGAACGGTTATAAATATTCGAACTAGAACTAACTTATGGTAGCGTTGGAGAAATATGAAGGTGATTTTCGCCTGTTCGTTAACATTTTTCATAATTGTGAAAGGAAAGAATAGTTTTATTTGAAATGTCACACTGTTTACTGTAATTGTAATACTGCAGAAAACGACTTCGCATAATCGCGCTTTCCGTAAAACTTTCTCGTCAATTAATCAATATTCCCGGTTGGTAAAGATGCTATTTCACTTTTCGAATAAGGCAAAGTTCTCAGCTAAATCTACCATATGTTCGCAACAACAAATTCGTTATATTACAAAAGCACAGAGAAACTTTAAAATTCTTCGAAATTGTTACACATTTACTTTTACAACGTTGAAAATTTTCAATGAATTTTATTATTGTACCAACGAGCTTACCTTTCATCATGATCTCCAAGCTAATCACTTTATGTCGCGTTGCACTATTTGCTATTAATTGTGCGATCGTATCTTTCTCTTTATATATGCTTTAGGCATTGTTTTTTTACCGACGTATCAAAGCACTGTGTAATCGCTTATCGATCGTGCAACAATTGAAGTACGTAATTAACAATTGCTAATCTATCGCTGAATCTTTTCCGTTAGAGTGAACTGATTTATACAAATTGACACTCTTCTAGTGCAATGCTAATTCGAAAGCTGCATGCAAATTAACGGAGACTTAATAAATCAATTATAATTATTTTAAATGTATTCTACATCTTGGATTTTTATTTCTCAGTACTTGATCTTCTATCTTGCAATTGTTTCTTTTCTGATATCGATGCACGTAATACGATAAGAACAATTCATTTCTAGGAAACTTTTCATTCATGCAAAAATAAATATCGGAACGGATATTACGAATTTTTAGAAATGTCAACAGATGATACTTGAATTATGTATTGTTAATTATTGAGCACTTGTAAGAGCGTAACGTGCATATTGTAATTGTAGATAAAATCACTTCCTTTGAAATAAAATCGTCACTTTGGAAGTATGGAGTAATTACGTTGGTAATAAAGTCAGTGTTTTTATCTTTTCTTATCGATAGTTTTATGAAAAGCTTCCGTTTGTAAGAGTTATTTTCTAACCTATAGATTAATATGGAGATAATTATTATTATCAAATTTTTAAAAGGATATAACTCTTTATTTCCTGAAAAATCTAAAATTACAAGATTAGTAAAGTCGTATACAGGAAGTAGAACTTTCTCGTTACGTACACATCCATTTCAAGGGTTTGAATGGGTTTATATGATATTATACGATATCGAATTATATTCTATTTCATGCACATTTTATACTCCTCTTTTTAACAAGGCTGGTCATTTTTTTCGCTTATTTTGAGCATTTTTGGGCTTAATATATAAATATTTACGTTATTCATATATTTTTCCTTAAGCCATATACTACATTCATATACATTGTTATACTAATTGCTGAACAGTACGTCTACTAGCAATTAAGATCTATCATACGTAGGGACTTATTTTCGTGAAAAATGACTCTCATTCTCGCCTTCAATAATCCTAAAAGCCCCTAAAAACATCTCATTTTAATCGAATATTTTACAGTCCGCATACTACACTTCAGCCTAATTTATATACGGAAGTTTTGATTGTACGAATTAATTACTTCACTATGCATATGCGTAAAATTTCATTCGATGAACATAAACTGCGATTGATGTTAAATTTCGTTGCATAGGGACTTATGGTTTTTACGTATGGCACCGTATAGTCACCAATAGAGACCGCTTGCTATGGGAAATTTTTTACAAACTTAAATATAAAGTGTCAAAAATGGGAGTGAAAGATCTTTGGAATATTTTATCGCCTTTGTGCGAAAGAAAACCAATGTTCGAGCTGCAAGGGAAAACAATAGCAATTGACATGAGTTGTTGGGTTGTGGATAGTCAAACTATTACAGATAATTCTGTACAACCAAAAATGTATCTTAGGTTTGTACATTTCTGTCAGTTGTGTTTATTATTTTTTAACGATTCAAGCTAAGAAAACTTGAGCAATTGTTATAGGAATCTATTTTTCCGGACAGCATTTCTTCTTATGCAAGATATATCACCGGTATTTGTATTGGAGGGAAAAGCACCCACCCTGAAACATAATACAATTGCAAAACGAAATGACGTTCGTAGTGGATCTCGAGTCAGGAAAACTACTCGTAAAGGTGGAAGATTACAGTTTAATAGGATTCTCAATGAATGTAAACAAATGCTTCAGCATATGGGTTTAGCATGTGTACAGGGACATGGGGAAGCTGAAGCAATGTGTGCTTATTTAAATGAAGATGGGGTAAATATTTATTGCTCTGTGTGTCAAAGAATATGAATCCTGATTATTTATTGTTTTAATAAATATTTGTATAGCTCGTTGATGGATGTATAAGCCAAGATAGCGATTGTTTTTTATACGGTGCAAAGGTAGTTTATAGAAATTTTTGCACAAGTGCTCAAGGAAATCGAGGGGGTACTGGTGGTGCTGTGGATGAATATGACTTAGAGAAAATAGAAAAAATATTGGGTTTAGGGAGAAATAAAATGATAGCATTAGCTTTATTATGCGGGTGTGATTATGACGATGGAATAAATGGAGTAGGCAAAGAAGCTGCTATGAAACTTTTTAAAATTGTAAAAGATGAAGATATTCTGGATCGGTATAAAATACAAATTACAGTTATTTTACTTAGTATCATGTATAAGAATATGCAGTAAATATTCTTCCCTTTAGAATAAAAAGTTGGAAAACAGATGATGCTTTATGTATCAGAGAAGCAAGATTAGCAAATTCAAATTTGTGTTCATCTTGTGGTCACAATGGTGAAGTCCAAAAACATGCAAAATCAGGTTGCATAGATTGTGGTACCGTTGTGAAATGCAATGATTCTTACAGGTATATTGTTACTTATAATATCTCTTTTAATGTATTATTAGCCAGATATATACATAATACATATTATGATATATTGTGTTGAGCGGAAAATTCATGCAGATTTTTAAGTACATAAGGAAATTCTATGTTTTAACGCAATCGTTTCTCTACTCTATACGTGCCCTTTTGTTCTACAACTTTTCGCCGTTTCCCGCCAATTTGAAAATTTCATTTTATCAAAAAGTTGCAGACTTTTATAAGTTGCAGTTGCGTAGAAACTTCGTTGAAATTTTCATTTCTTTTCGGTTGATGTAGAAACAAGCGACAGGCATAGAAAGATGTAAGAATCGTTAGATTTATTACAGTTGTAGCCCGATAGTGGTGAAAAACTGCGATTTTCATCATTTTCAATCGATTTCGATGAAATTTTCATTACAGGCTCAACTTAAAAACTTGTAAAACGCGACCTTCACTATTTTCTTCACGATTCCGACCAATAGTAATTTCTTCCAAATTTTTTATACACTTCATCTAGTAAACTAATCCTTCTAACTTTTCAACAACAACAAAAAAAATTCAAGTCGTTTGGTCCAATTTCAGAAAAGTTATTGCTTCGAAGAGTGTACAAATACTTTTTCCCCTCACTATACGCGAACTTATTCCAACGTATTCAAACACTATCAAAAATCGGCACGAAATTTCCGCTCAAGCCAATATTTTTCTAGGGAACAAAGAGCATTGTTATTAAACGAAATTGCTTTGCAAAAGAAAGCACTTCTTATCGAGCACTTTCCAAATCAAGAACTGATAGATGAGTTTCTTATTAGAAAAGATCCAGTTTCGACAGAAATAGACATTCAGTGGAAACAACCGCAAATCAGCGAATTCATAGTAAGCTTTCACGTAAAATTTTACAAACACAATATTGTCTTCAGAAAATTGATACATTGGTTCACGTTAGGATTTCATGGAACGACATTTATCTTGGAAGCCGCAATACGCATTTGAAAAGATATTTCCTCTAGTGACACGTTGGCAGCTCTCGCACCTTCCAAACATATCTATCGAAGATCGTTTAATATCCGACTTATTCGTGCCTGAAGCGATAAAAAAGATTCGAAACGTTAGGTCTGTAGCGAGTTACGAAATTATTTGGAAATCGGATCACGACATAGTCGAGAAGTTGAAAGAGTACGTAGCATTGGACGAGGAAAACGACGACAGTGATGCAGATATCCTGGCTGAATTAACGAGTATCGAGCCGCAGGACGTTGTACAGAAATGTTATCCAAAGTTAGTCGAGGCGTTCGAGAATGCGAGAAACGCAAAAGTGAAAAAGCGGCCTGCTAAGAATAAAGCAAACGACGGAACAAACGCTAATGATAATACGAAACGTAAACCGGAGAAGAGACGTCATAGGAAAAAGGAAACTGTAGAAAATATTAAGAAGATCGACGAGTTCCTTTGTAAAAATCGTCCTTTGTCGTTGGAAGAATCCTTCGAAAGTATGAGTATTACACCGAAGAGATCGAAAAAGTTGAACGTTCAACGAGAAAATCGAGAAATTAATGGTAAAGTAAAACGTGGTCCTCAGTTTGATAAAGTGTTGCAAACAGAAAATACCAATTCGAGGTTGAACAATACATTGGATAGGATGTTCAACGAACTTTCACCGGATGATTTTATCAGCGACAACGACGATCACGATTTAAATATATCACAAATAATCGACGATATATGTACGAAAAGCGTGTTTCACTTGAATATTAAGGAAAATGTACGATCGCCTGAAGCTGAAAATACTCTCAGCGAAAAAAGGATCGACGATTTTAAAATAATCAACGACGTACCGAATTCTCTAACAGAGCTTAATCAAGATAAAAAAAGTAACACTATTTGCAACGATGTTAGGGACGAATTTGCACATATAAACGAATCTTACGTTCCTCTTAACGAAAGACTATTAACTTGCAAAGGGAGAGATGAATTTCCAAAAATTGCTGCTGAGACAGACGATAGATTTAGTCTTGGATTTAATTCTTTGATGAACGATACTAACCCGGAAACCCAATGTCATACTTAGTGCGTAATATGAAAACAAAAATATTTTTATGCTTTTCCCTGTGTACATAAAATGTATAGAATTTTTAAAAATATTTAAATAACGAATTCTATAATTATCGTTTAAGTAAAAAACTGTATATTGCCTGAAAATTTATTCTACACATTGTAGAGGATATATAAAATAAAATTGTGCAAATTGGTAGGTTAGTGAAAGTTTATTTTGTACAGATACGATGTTATAGATTTAAAAATGAAATGAAAATTTTAAAGTATATACAGCGAAGTTCTTCACTTTTAGATATATTTTTTTTTATTGCATTAGTTGTGTATGTACCGAGTTTTAAATAATTTTCTAATAAAATAAGTGTAAATGAGTTTGCAAGCTTTCTTCGATTCCTGACTGTATTCCTCGATCTTGCTCTATCGATCGTTTAGTCAGATATGTTACTTCTAGAAATCTAAGTAATTCACGCGAAGAGAATCACGTGCTATACGTTTCATTTCCACTCGATTGTAATAATGTCGAACGTCCAATGTGAAATTTAAATTATTAACAAAATTGCGTGTAATAAGAAGCGAGAATGCATTGAAAATATATGTGGATTTAGTCATTTGAACCGCTTCGAGTTAGAACTAACGTTTACCTTCATATAACCAAAGTGAAAATTACTTAAACCTTCAATATCAACACTAGAACTATCAGCCAGGACAAAATGACCCAAAAGTGAATTTTTATGCAAGCAAAACATGATTGGAATATTAGATTCATATCGATACAAATACAGTTACACCTATCAAAAATAAAAGTGACACTATTTTCTTCGTGATTCCCACAAATTGCAATTTTTTCACAATTCTTGTTTTGGTCCAATTTAAAAAAATTTACACTGTCCTAAAGACCGTCCGAATATTAATAAAAGTAACTGCAAAATAATTCGTAATAAAGAAAATAAATTCGGAAAGTTACAAACGACAATACTCGTAAGTATCGAATTTTCTTCGACTTTTCTTCGAAAATTGCTAATGTGCCATTTCTAGTGTTGCATAAGTAAAAGTAATCTTTAGTTACATTTTTACTATATTTTACAATCTTTATTTAGTCGTTGCTTCATGTTGCTCGCTCGATGTAGAGAAATTCTTCTCGACGACTTAACTTCAGTCATTCTCAGAAAATGGCTGACATTCTTCTACAAAATTCCCGGCACAGGTTGTGCGTGGATGTAGGTAAAACGTAGACAACGATGACATTTCAATTCGTTCATAAAGATACATAGCGTGTGATGAGAAATACAGCAGTTTGCACTAAACCGTGCACATTATTGGTCAGCAGAAATATAATTATTGCGATGTACCAGCGTAAATCACAACAAACTCGTTCCGTACGACGAGATAGATTTAAATTCTCGTATCGCGCGATCAGTTTATATTTTACATCGGTGAAGAAAATCAACAGGCGTGTTTCGATAAATAAACGAGCGAATTTAAAATTTAGCTGAAAATGAACAGTTCAAGAAAAAGAAATCTTTTTCTCTAAAATCGCATTAGCATAGAAAACTTGGAAATCTTGCGGTTACATCGAAGCAAAGCGTGTATTTCTGAAGAGAAACGTTCGAATCGAGTCAAACCTCTTTTTCTAAAGATACTTCAAGATTCTTAAGATACTTTTCCATTCACACGCGTAACAAACGTGCACGATTTTGAGAAATGAGCGCAAAGCACTCCCTATGCTTTTCCGTTTACTTTTCTATGAGACGAACGAATGACCCGACGAGTTAAAGGTGAAAAATGGAAAATTCCCCAAAAAAATTGAACCAAGACTCGTATTTTCGATTATTGATTAATTATCAGGCGACACTTGTCCGCGACGTATCTGAAACAAATTACTGTGAACCATTGCGTGATGCACAATCAAACATTATCTTTAACGTATTCTCCGAAAGCGGCAATTATCTTCGATAAAGTTTGTAATTTTTGTGTTAACAATACGCTCCTGTTATCAACGAAGAAATTACTGGAACGATGTACACGTAGTTACATTTACACGCCGGTTGTTACGTTGTTTGTTTCTGTGTATTGATCCGCGAAAAAAGCAACACAAGCGAACAATAAACGAAGAGACAGGAAAGATTTGATTGGTTCACTTGTCTGGAACCGATACAAAGTAAAAACTGCAAAGTGATATGGTTCTGTTCGAAATCGAAGGTAAATTATCGAAGTATGTTGGAATAATATCCACGCTATAGAGATAACAATGCGATCTTTTAATATTAACCCTTTAACCCACAACGAGTCAGACTCGTGACAGAAACTCTAACCAAGATATGAGAAAAATAGTTACATTAATAAGAAAAATTCGTTATAATCCTAACTTTCGTTTGAATTTGTAACACTGAGAGTTACTAAATGTAATTAATCTATAAGAAATAAACTTTTGTTATCTGGCACAGTACTGAAACACTAAATAACTGACGCTTAGATGTACAGTCGGAAAAAACTCATAGGTGAAGGGGTTAAATATTGAATTCGTCGTTGTTGTTACAGTCACAGATAGAATACTTTCTACTTTATATTTACTTTAAACAAGGGATTCGCGACACTTCGGTCCTGCTTTATTACTCTTCTTCTGTCCGCCATTTTCACGCGGTTGCAGAGTCGTTGCACAATTTACTGGCAGCGGTTACCGAATAGCGAGATATCCTTTTCTCGAAAATTCATTTCAGTAGCGACGAACATCGAGAAACTGTACCGTGATTTTCATCACGAACATGTATCCCGCGGAGTTTAAAGCGTTCGCCATAGTTCCCTATTTTCCTCGAGAATATCGAGAACGCAGATTAACGTAAATACGAGTCGCGATGTATGTATTTCCGACGAAACGACGGAACAGAAAAGTTTCACAAATAAACGAGAACGATACTGATTCTTTCGATTCGCGGAATACATATGTATGCAATTAGTCATTGCTAGACTTATCGGGACATAGTAAGACCCGATAAGCAATCGTGATGCGTGTTGATACAATTCTAGAAAAATTTCTGAAGTATATTATATATAAAGACGTAAAGCATCGCAGTATCGCAACAGCCAAGTGCAAGATCTATTCTTCGAGCAGTGAAAATGAAAGGTAAGTGTACCTTTGTGAGAAAAAAATAAAATTCTCACGTTGTGTGTGTGTCTGAAACGTTGTTATTGAAATATTTCACATGTTCAAGTTACTCTCGGTGAATTATTTCACTTCTTAATTCTGCACTCGTCGTTTCGTTTTAACGTTCGAAATTGATCCGATTTCACAGAGAAAATCTTTCCAATTTTTTCACATAGCTTCTCTTGATACGAAAATATTTTCCGTGACTTTCAGCGTGAAACGTTTCAGATATTCATCGTGATCGTTCAATCATTTTTCTTTGTTTTCTTCAGCTATATTCGTGGTAGCAGTTGTCTTGGCGGCCTTCGCTTATACCAGCGAAGCCGTTCAATGTCCACGACATAACGAAGATGACGTCGTTCTGCTTCCAAATCCAGAAGACTGCCAATCGTATTACACTTGTAACGAAGGCATAGCGTATTTAATGAGATGCAGCGTGGGACTTGAATTCAATCCCGTAGAAAGAGTTTGCGATTGGCCGGAACATGCTAACTGTGAATCCCGTGTTTCTACTACAGACGCATCTCAAGAAACCACTGTGTCTATAGAGGAACCTGAAGAAACCACTGTGTCTACAGAGGAACCTGAAATAGGTACCACTGAAGAAAGTGCATCCGAAAAATTTGAAATGTTCTTCGATTGAAAACACCTATGATTTCACCATGCAGTATACATTATCAAAACGCATTATTTATATACCTTCCGTGTGTATCGGATGTGATTAAATTTTGATCACTTTTCGTGTCTCGTTATTTTTTTTTTTTTTCGATTTTCAACGAATTTTAACCGATACCACAGTTTGCGGCATTTCGAAAGAAAATTTTATAATATAATATGAAATACGATGCAATAGTGTATTTATACAATATAATTGATTATCACGTATAATGTATAATTATTAATTATTACATTTGATAATAGTGACTTTAACTTCGTCAAAATTGATTGATCTTATTTAGAGAATTTTCGTCGAATTTCTTTGAATTCTTCAAACTTCTGTCCTTCTTTCTTTTTTCACCTTTCGCTGTTCTCTTTTGTCGTTCCCTAGTTCTAATTTACAACTCTGCATGTTGAACTGCCAGACATTGGCTAGTTTATCGCGACGGTAATACGCAAATGTTACTTCGAACTGAGTTACTTTTTAGTTAATTTCAATATTTCTTAGAGAATCGAGCAAATTTCCGAAATATTTCCTTCCGTCGATGGATCGCTTATCGTTCAGGGTGTGTGTCGCCTCGCAAGAAATCGCGACGAACCCTCGGACCGAGGTACCGGTCCTCTCGCGCGTACCGTACCCCCGTGGAGAGGTCACGTACCCAAAAACCCAAAAATGGGGGTTTTCTAATGTTAAGCAACAATCCCCTTCCCTTGGAAAGAGCTGCGTCCCACCTAAACAACCTCCTCCAATGAGGAGTCAGCACCTACAACCCCCAGAAGAAATCGGCCACCAATCAGCAACTGGCCGAGCGGATAAAACTAAGGAAACGAGGCAGAAGCGCGTCCTTTTTTGGAAGTCTTGTCTAGTGGCGACATCACCTCAAGTATCACTCTGTTGCGTGTATTTTGATAGTCTCGTGGCGACATCACCTCAAGTATCACTCTGTTGCGAATAAAACTAGTTTTTAGCATTTCACACTGAATAAATCAAGATGTGATTAAACTCGCGTACCGGTTCGGCACTTAAGCATCGAACATTACGCGACCCGAACAGTGTGTAAACCGAATGGAACGCTGATCTATTCGCGTCGCGGCGATTTCGATCGAAAGCATAGCCATCGGTCAAGTAAGAAAGAGAAGAGTTTGGCAAAAAGTTTCGCTTACGTTTCACCGAATGCCACATGTTTAAAACTTATGCAGAGGCAACCGAAAACAACTGCGAAAGTTTCTCCTTCCTTTGCGCCAGACGTAGCGGAATTTTCAAAAACAGGTCACAGAGTTTCACGGGCAACGTTACATATGATAGAAAGGAAAACAGAAGATTTTCTGCATGCATAATGATTTGTTTGTCGACGATGTACCATGAAATAAAGGTTGTCGTGCACGATGAATAAGAGTGATCTCGTTCGATCAAGCTGAACACGTTTCTTGCATGCTAATGCACACTGAGAAATTTTAGGGGTCGTAATTATGCACGTACACGTGCGGTGAAGTTCAAATTTCTGGCATAGTTGATCACATTTTCGAGATTAGTGTAATTAAATCGAGCTAAATCCATAAATCATCGTTCGGTGTATTTATCCCGATAAATGGTATTCTTATATTTTTGCTGAATAATTCGCATATTCTCTATCAAAATTTTCACCTCAAAACGAGACCTCAAATTAACCGATCTCTCCTCTACTTCAGCTTCCCAAAAGCCGTAGATGTCAAATATCCTCTTCAATTTCTATTAAATCTATTCGCTTACTTCTATCAAATTTCTTACACCTGTACATTCAGTTTTTATTAAATTTTTAACATTGAAATTGCAATCTTGGTTTCGGAAGATCGAATACGGATAAAAGGATCTATATTACACGCGTCGTCAAATATTTTTACATCTTACTTCTCGTAAAAATAGAACTTTCTCACGTGAGAACTAAAAAAGGAAGAGGTAGTTCAACGAAAGGATAAAAGCGAGAAGCTCAGAGATCGCAACAGCAGGGCCGAGGGTGAAAAACAGAGGTGAAAAACAAGGTTTACACGGAGACACAGCAGGATCGAAGCGACAATATCGTTCAATCTGTTCGAACATCTCAATAACAATTGCTCTCCGCAATGTCGACGGTATTTAATTCAACGGAAGCGTGCATACGTTCCGCCTCTTCCTGCCAGTGACCACAATAATAGCTGTCTCTCGAGCTGCTCTTCAGTCTTTTCTCTCCTTTGTCGCCGAATCGCGAGGTCCACGTTCGTCCACTCGATTAATACGAGGGTCGTTCGATAAGTAAAGAGACGAACGATTGTTCTTTTAATCCGGTTTACTCGACCAATCTCACGAATTTCCTATTTTTCGACGATAATTCTCTGTTACAATAGCGCACTTGTCCTATAGTTCTACTGGATTTTCTATTTCAGCAGCAAAGAAATCTCTGTCTTGTTTGAGGCAATTTTGCACGTTACTTTTCCCTTCTTCGTTGCATGTGAAGTTTGATTCCACAAAAGGGAGCAAAATGTACGCCTCCAAGGCTAATTTGAATTTAGCGGTTTTGGCGATCGAGACTGGGCAGGTGTAATTTGAAAGAAAATATATTACAGCTATGAAAGAAGGAATTTTAGATAATTCTAGGAAAGATTATACTGTTATCTCTGAAAATTACACTGTTTCTCGTCTGTTTTTTACACTGACTTATTACTCTGACTTTTCCACACTCACCTGCTTTCAGACTTTTTTATCCCTGCATTCTCCCTCTCTCTGCTAGTATTTTCTTCTCATTCTACGTAGACATTCCTCGGAGACACTCAATCACATTCACCGAAATCCTTAGGTGGCCAGGTACCCTTTGTTCACACGATGTTCTCAAGTAATCAGCTCCAAACACTCTTCTTTCGCACCTGCATCACTCTAGCTCAAGTAGTCTTCGTTCACACAACTCTCCTTCCACACTGAACACTCGTACGAAATGCTACCGCTATATAGCTTTCTAAATTTTTGTTTATTTACATTATAACAGTCGTCAAACAGCTGTTTTTAATTGTTTCCAGCTTATAATTTTGTAGGTATGGAACTTCTTACTTAATTAAATTATAGAACCTTTTCTTTCTTTATTTATTAAAGGGATACGCCACATTGATGCGTCTAAACAAAGGAAAATTTTGGGAATGTTTTTGGTAGATAACTGCTAAATGGAAAGTTTCAATTTTTCCCAGAGATAAAAATGTAAATTTCAGCTTACTCCTCCAATTTTCGAAAAGTAGAAATGCCAGAAAATGGAGGAGTTACCGCGGAGCTTCTTCTGCTGGCCACCATCGTCGACAAGGATTGGAACATCTGAAATAAAAAATACTTCATAATTTATAAACAAAAATGTATTATCTACGTGTCTTAAAATTTCTCTAAAGCTATAATCACCAAAGAAATGATGGCAGTTTGAAGAAGAGAAACCTCTTTCTACCGAAAAAATCAAATTCAAACGTTTCTAAAAAAACTGAATAATCAACGTATGAGAAAAATCGTACAGTTTTATTTACAAATCAAGAAGAATTTTTCATTTCAGACGTTTCAACCCTCGCCGGCGATGTCGGCCGGCAATCGATGTTCCATCAGAAGAGGTTTCGCAATTAGCCAATAACTCCTCCAATTTTTAGCATTTTCACTTTTCAGAAATAGAGGAAATAGGCTGGAAGTTACATTTATATCCTCCAAAACAACTTCGAGCTTTTCATTCAGTAGTTACCTACGAGAAAAATTGCCAAACTTTTCCCTCAGGGTAATGTACCCTCTTAAATCTCACTGTCTCTTTGCTCATCAAACGACTCTACTAATATCAATTGACGACGCACAGGCACACAGAGATCGCTATCGCTCTCGAAACGATCAGTTGTCCGATAAGGTGATAATTTGGCGAAGGTTCGAATCACCCGAGAAGAAGCGTGATTCTACAGAGAGGATACACATTCTACGCACGTAACTTACACAGCTACACGACTTCAGACGTCCACGCCGGTGTCTGTATTAGAACGGGGGCGGTTTGTGGGAGAGGGTCGATGGGGGTGGTTACTGGGATTTTCAGTACGCGCGCGATCGCCGTGCCGAAAACACGGCAGCCAGCGTGTCCTCGGGGGCTGCAAGGATTCTGTTCTTCCTGTGATAATATCGAACTTGTTGATGTACCCCCCCGTGATTCAATTTTACGCGACAGTTCCACGAAAAGCGAGAAAAAATGGTGTCCTGGAAATTACATCCGACGATATCAACATGAGACGAAAAGATTGACAATTTTGTTTGTGGAGTGTGTGTGATTACACGATGTCTAGTTGCGACTCTATAAACGATCGATAATTTAAAAAGAAGAAATGGTAAACGAGGGTATTCAACGGAAAGAAGAGAAAAAATGAGGGATTTAAGGAAACTTCAAGGAAACAGAATATTGAAATTTGACGAAGAAGAATAGCGATGGAGAATGAGTTCGTTTTTAAATTGAGATCGTGCGCGTAGTATGGTCAGGGATTTACAAATACACAGATCAGGTGCAGTGAGTATGCGACAATAAGAAACGTGAACGACGACGTATGTGCGAGATCCGAATTTGCGAACTGTTTCCCGAAAGATTCTCCAAGATTAGTCGTTCTTTTAGGTAAACGACGTGCTCGGCGGTGCTTGTGTGCACGCGCAAAGAATCACAGAAACGTCGAGAGGGAACGCGGTGAAGCGGAGGAACGCAAATTAGGTAGGTACGTGCAGCGAGGGTTGAAGGGAGAAAATTTTGTGAATAAGATCAAAGGGAGCGTGGTCCTTTTCTTTCTGCGCACGCCGCGGGTGGACGTGCTCCACTTCCGGGGAAATGAATTTTTTAAGAATGTTGCAATCATATGTGCAAATTTCCCCTGCACCTTTTTTCTTCCTTCCTTTCTTTTTTGTTTTTTCCTTTTTGTTTCACGGTCGTTGTGACTTTCGGGTAGGAAAAAAAGTAGGCCTGCGATGGGAGCATTATGCCGGCACTCGTCGGAAATCCGCGCTACATAGCTTGACGACAAGCAACGCGAGGCCGGTGTGGTAAATCCGCGATCGATACGTTTTAATCTCTGCAACGTATCACACGTTTCGAGTGTTCGTATCGTGCTAGGATTTTCCGCAGACTTTGTTTCGTATCGCTTCTTC